TGTTAATTGACACAGAACAACACCATGCCCTGTGTCTGTGCCTCTTATCGTCTAAGAAAAAGGATATTACAGCAGAATGACAATGCCTTGTTGATAATGATTTATTCAGCATAGGTATTTTACATAACCTTTAATTTCTCATGTGGATATTTAAAAGTTAAGAAAGTATTCTAGTGTTCTAGAGTCTAGTGCTCTGAGTCAACAAGCTATATGGCAAGAATTATATCAGTTTCTGGAAATAATTTTAGCAACTGAATAGAATTAAAAAATTTATTGTAACTTTGGTCTTCATATAATATTAACATTTTTGGGTGTTATTTAGTCTTTACCTGACTTTCAATGTTTACTTTAAACAATTCAGGGACAAGTACAGTTAAATTCCTTTCCAAATCTTGAGAATCATACTTACAAGGAAGGAAGAGAGGGATAGACAGGTAGATAAATTGACAGGCAGTGTGCATGCCACAGGACACCTTACAAACGAATGCAGCGCATGTGGGAGCACTTGAGTGCGGTGGCCCACACATATAATCTGAGCACTCAAGGGACTGAGGCAAGAGGACTGCAAGTTTAAACCCATCCTGAATAATTTAGTGAGACTCTTATCTCAAAATGAAAAATAAAAGGACTGGAAATGTAGCTCAGTGTGGAGGCCTTGGGTGCAATCCTTTTAAAAAATGTATACGCTGTAGAGCACCCTTCTTCCGAAGAAACATACTAAAGCATAAGCTTAAATTCAATTTTAAAGTGCAGAGTGTTTTTGAAGAATTTATTAATGCTATTGTTGTAGTTATTATTTTAGTATAATGGATTCTGCATTGGGTATTTTCAGAGGCATTTAATGTTTTCTTAAGTATTATTAACTACTGATAAATGGTTGATAATTAGATTTTGGCTATGATAGTCTTTGTCAGGTTTGGTCATTCAGTGTACATATAAAGAGAAAAAGCATCTGTGAAATTCTTAACTTTCCTAATGTTGTTTGTAGCATAAAATCTTAGTGACTTGGGTGTTATGCATTTAGTGCATTCATTGTGCACCAGATAGAAAGACAGATGGGTAGTATGCAGTTTAAAAATCTGTGCAAATAGGAAGACAGATGGGTGATTTAAGTGGTTAAAATGACTATGAAAATATTTGTGTCAAGATCATGACGCCTAAAGTTAAGCTAAAAATTTTAAGAGTTAATTAGTAGTAGAATTCATACAAGAGTGAGTTTTTAAAAGCATAACATTAAATATGGAAGAAATTGAATTCATTAGTTGTATTTTTTTAGCTTCCAATAAAAGTTAATGGATTAGAGTGCAGTACTCAAATACTTTTGCCTGGTACCTGCTTATTTTCTTATTATGAACATGTAGACTATAGCTTATTACTTGTAATTGATTTATCTGGATAGTTGTACATGATCTTTTGAATTGTTGTCAAAAGTAATTTGTTCTGTTTAAAGTAACAGAAACAAATTAGTTTTTAAAATAGTGAATTAAAACACAGACAAAAGTTAAAAAAAATCATTAAAATGAACCTCATAAGGATAGTGGTTGTGCTGCTTCAGCAGTTTCGGTTGGAGCTGGTAAACTGTCAATTCATTTAGCCATAATGTCACCTAGCATGTTACCCAGAAGATGAGTTTCTGTATGGGCAGGTATGCATCTTGGATCTTGAGTGCTAGCTGAACGTGCAGGAGTTTCATCCTGACTTGTGTGGGTGAGGAGAAACAGGAGGCAGTTATTTGTAGAAGAAACCTTCAGGACTAGCTGCAGACATGTCGCTTGCAATGATTCTTGAGGACTTTTAATCAAATGTATTTCTGAAAGAAGGGTGTTAAGCATCAATATTCACATATAAAAATGTTATGTATTCTGTGAAGTAACAATATATTAAAGTCATTTATTAGTTGCTACACTTTTAAAATTATTGCATATACATATAGAATGAATTTGCACTCCTTGAGGGATTTATATTAACTGATGAAAAAAGCTTATTTGATTCAAATAAACATTTTTAAATATTAAAAATTCAAATAGAATAGAATTTTTAAAAGACCGCAGAGCAAACCAGATATAGTGGCACATGCCTGTAATCCCAGCACTCAAGAGGCTGAGGCAGGAGACTTGTCATAAGTTGAATGAAGGCCAGCCTATGCTACATAACAAGACCTTGTCTTAAAAAAACAAACAAACAATAACAACAAAATTACAAAGCATACCTCACTTTTTTGACAATTATTTGACACCTAATCAAAGCCCTAAATTTTTTCCCCAGTTTTTATTTTTATTTGTACATATTTGCATTACATAATGATTACATTTTTTGTGAGGAGTTGGTATACGTACATAACTCATCTCCATTCTTTTTCATCTCCTTTTCCTCCCTATTCCGTCCATGTCTTGATCCTATGAAAAAAAATCTTTGTCTCCTTCCTTATTATCTGTTTTTTATTCTGCTTTTTATTTATATTTTGAGTTTCTTATATAAGAACAGCCAGGTAATGTTTAAACTTATGTGTCTGATTTACTTTATGTAACATTTTAGTTGCAAAGTGCATTCCTTTTTACTACAAATGACTTATTTATCCTTCTATATAGATGTGGAAGAGTAGTGCTCCATTGTATAAATACCATAGTTTCTTTATCCATTCATTTGTTGATGGACATGTAGGCTACCTTGGAGACTTAGCTCTTGTGAATTGTGCTGCTGTAACCATGGAAATACATGTATGAGTGTAATATAATGTCTTTAATTCCTTGGGGAAGATACGTAGTAGGAAAGTAACTGGGTCAAATGGAATTTCTAGTTGTAGTATTTGAAGAAGAATCCCTGTATTGATCTCCATAGTAATTATACTAGTTTACATTCTCACTAGCAATGTGGAAGGGATTTTTTTTCCCCAGCAGCCTCACTAGCATTTGTTACTGTTTGATTTCTTAGTGATAGCCATTCTTTCTGGAATAAAATGGAATCTCAGTGTTGTTTTAATGTGCATTTCTCTAATGTTTCTTCATGTGTTTATTGATCATTTGTACTTCTTCTGGGAGGTATTATTCATTTTTGCTGCCTATTTTCAATTGTTTTTTTTTAATTGGGGAAGTCGAATTGTTTTGAATTCTTTATATATTCTAGATACTAGTTTGCTGAGGAATAGCTGGCAAATTTTTTTCCCTATTCCGTAGGTTGCCTCTTCACTCTATTGGTTGACTCTTTTTGCTCTACAGAAACTGTTTAATTTGATATATCCCATTTGTTGATTTATGGTACTGTTTCTTGTGTCATTCCAGTTCATTTGAGAAAGTCTTTGCCTACACCTACATCTTAAAGAGTTTTACCTATTTAATCTAATTATTTAGGTAACTGTGGTACTGGTACATGGAATAAGATATACCATGCTGTGGGTTGTAGTCAAAAAAGGGTAAAGAACTAATTCTTTGGTATTTTAAGTTTTTTTTTCCTCTGATTTCCTTCATATCAGAACTGAATTACAATATTTGATTCCTTTTTGCCAATGTAGTATTAGAATCTGTTAACCAACAATGAAAGAGAATAAAGTACTCTTATGAAAAAAAATACTTTTTTGTCATTGAGAAGTTCTTGATGTTATAAAGTAAAATAGATCTTCTGGGTCAACATTTTGTGAAATAACTTGGAGAGTTATTAATATCCCTGTGTGCAGAAGCCAGGTAATGATGGACTATAGCTAAAGAGTTATATTCTGTAAAATAATTGTGTATTTCCCTGAGGAAAGGTCAATGGTTCTAACAGTACTTGGAAACACTAGAATTTGTGTTAGTAGTAACATTTCAGTCTGTTGGAAGGTTTCTTTCCTTTTATGTGTGTAGTCCCAATGATTCAGAATTACAAAGGAAAAGAGAAATGCAAAGGATTTGTGTTTTTCATTTTGTTGTTCATTTACAAGTGGTTATTGAGCCTAAACAGAGGAAATTATCTGGCGTCAAAAATTCTCAATTTAAAGTTTGTTTCAGGGATAGCATTAATTAGTAGGATTTCCTTGGAAAAAAAAATAAATCCTTTTAAAAGTTTCTAAATCTCAGTTGATAAAAATAGTTTACTCTATTAATGCCAAAAATATTTGTTTAAAATTTTACTTTATTTATATATTCATTCTCTTGTTTTGGTAATCTGTCAATATTTTATAAATATAAAAAAGAACCACCAAACTTTTGATTAATTACATTGTGAACATCTCTTGTATTACTTGCACATAAGTCTGAATTCCTCTGCTTAGATTTCAGGTCATTCAATGCCTAGCATTGTCCTGTCTATACAGATGCTGTATTGCTTCATCCCTCCACCCCCAAGCTGCTTTCTCGTCTTACCTATGTCACATTGCTTTTTCTTTACATAGAGTCATTCAGTATTCCATTTACCAGGCTGTACATCAAGGACTCTGTTTTCATATTCTAAATTCTGAATGTTTAGTAGAATTCTGAATAATCTTCAGTTCATAATCATTGAATAGGAGGAATTATTGTCTAACTTACACATTTTTATATGTACCACATCCTTAAAAGTCCGCTTTCCCTACAAAGCTTCTTTTGATTGTATTTATCTTACCAATGTCTTAGACCTCAGAATTTAACCATTTTTTTTTGTACTGACGTGTGCTTGCCAGACAGGTACTTGTGCCACTGAGCTACATCCCTGGCTAAAATTTAACATTATTTTCAAGCTTTCTTGTTTATAGAGTTTCATGTGTATTGCTGTTCCGATTTGATATGAGCTCCTTGAATGTTTTGTATAACCACAGTTTTTGAGTAGTATATTTATTTTGAGTCACTACATATTTTACTATATATCATGCGCCTTTTTGTGGTAGTATCTGTTGAACTGTTAAATAGTTTTTCATAAAACTCCACATATAGTATATATTCAATAAAATTATGATTTTTACAAATTATGAAATAATATAAACTAATGCTAATCCATACTGTATATAGTGAAGATAAAACTTCCTTATCTTTTTGCTTCTGTGTTTTCTTCAGGGAAGGAAACAGAAAAGGCCAAGGAACGTTATGACAAAGCCACAATGAAACTTCATGTGTTGCATAATCAGTATGTGCTGGCATTGAAAGGGACTCAGCTTCATCAAAATCAGTATTATGATACCACGCTTCCTCTGCTTCTGGATTCTTTACAGAAAATGCAAGAAGAAATGATAAAAGCACTGTAAGATATAGTTTCTATTTATCATAAAATTTCTCCAAAAATAATTTCAAAATATTTTTCCTATAGTTAAGCTTTGCTTCCTGAACTACATTATTATCTGCTCTGGTGGGTTTCCAGAACCATTTTTTCTTCGTTCTTGACTTTCACTTCTGGTGCTCCTTCTGATGTACTCATCTCGTTCACTTTTTAGCAAGGTCCAAGAATGGTCCTTTTAGCATGTATTTCTACTTTATTCTTTTTAGCTACAATTTTAAGTGAAAAATAATGAATTAGTTGACAAGTATTAAGAAGTGAATAACTACTTTCAGACGGCTGGACTTCTAAATCTTGAACTGAGAAGTTTTAAGAATTTTTTAAAGGCTCATTTACCAGCTTGCTCTTTTTATTCCTGTATGAAATTAAAATCAATAAATGTTATTTGAGGTGGAAATGTGCACATTATAGTTCTTGCTTCCAAGGAGGTAACAGTGTGCTTTTATCAGTAAATTACTTGTATGTACTGATGTAAAACAACAGGGTAAAGATAAGAACCTTTTAGAATGGACTTCATATTTTTTATTAGCTGATTAAGCTCTTCCCAAATATTATATTCAATTTTCTTTCACACAGAATGTGCGTAGAATTCTTCAGTAGCAGAGTTGCTTTGCATTAGTAGGGTTGGGAAAGATTGAAATGGAAATGAGGTAGTAATGAAGGAAAGTCAGAGAAGAAATCGATGTTTACTTATCTCTCAGAGGTAAAGTTCACAAATTGTGGTGAATTATGACACAAAGAACTTGGGCCAGTTAAGTACAAGTTCTTGTGTTCTAGTGAATTTACCTATAATTCCATAAATTAACCTATGAACACTTACTATTTGTGCACTTTGGAATATAGCAGTAAATTAATATGAAAGATGATTGTGAACATTGTTTAGGTCCTAATGTAAAAGGAAGTCTGAGTATCATACAACTTGATAGGTGCCAGAGTAACTATAAAAGGTAAAATGGTAATTTCTACAACAAAGTATTGTACAATATATTGTGGTTTGTAAAGCACTTTCATGTGTGTTTACTTATTTGCTCCCTTGTTCTGTACAGTGTCCTGAAGAATTAGGAAGAGCAGGTTTTATTCAGGCTATATCTGTGACAGACAGATCTGTACTGGCCAAGATCACAAAGCTAAGAGGTAGGAGATTTCAGCTTTGCAGCCAGGTCTTCTGATTGATCCAGCTTTCTTTCTATGAGTAGGATATGGTGCGTTGACCAGCCCATTGTGCTCTTAAAAGTCCTGTGTGGCTAGAATCTCAATTGTGACCATATTTGGACATAGAATCTTTGCAGACCTGGTAATTAATTAAAGATTTCAAGATGAAATAGTCCTGGATTTAAAGTATTCCCTAAATCCAATAACTGGAATTTTTATAAGAGGGAAGGAGAGAGGAAAGATAGAATGCTATGTGAAGACTGAGACAGAGAATTTGGAGTTGGTCACTACTAGCCCAGCAACACCGGTGCTTTTAAGCTGGAGATAATTTTTCCAAGTTGCGAAGTCAACACATTTTCTGTTTTAATAATTATGTAGAAAGGGGAATGTTTTAAAATTTCCTAATACCTAATCAATAATTACCTTGATATTAATTAACCTCAGTAAATGACTTCATTGTTTCCTTTGAAGGACTCCCTAGTGCTTTAACAGATTTAGTATAACAACCTATCGTAGTTACATTATTCCACTGATATAGAATTATTTTACATAAGAGATTTAGGTTCTGAATATTTTTTGAGTAGTAATGACTTCTGGAACCTCTGAAATTAGGAGATCAAATTTGTCTTTGCTGCCTTTCAGACTCTGCCTGACTTACTTTTGCTTCTCTTTCTGTAAAATTATGAAGATAACTAGATACATACTTTGTTAGAGGTAAGACTAAATTTTAGATTATACCTATAGTCACAGTAAGTAGATAAGATAAAGTTTTTAGTCAGCTTGAATATAAAAAATTATTAATAAAATAGTTAATTGTCTATTTAAAATATTTAATTTATAAGTTTACTTTAAATTATATTGCAAAATTTAGAAACTTTCCTACTCTCACATTGTAATCAATATTTTTTAAACTGTTGACATGTATTTTCTTTTTTATTTAAGAGGAAAAAGAGAAAAACACAAAACAAACCAAAGCGGCGTAAGGGTACACGCAATACAGAACTACAAAAAACAAAACAAAACAAAACAAAACAAAACAAAACAAAACAAAACAAAAAAACATAACAGTAAGAAATCACCTGCTAGTAGATTACACACTATCTTCTTGAAAATAGTTCCTCAAATCACAGTATCAAAGAACACAAGGTGGACATTCAAACAGGGAGACTGCAAACAGCTGTGTTCAGTGTTCCAAAAACATTGATAAAGTCAGCTATTTAACACCCCCAAACACACTTGCTGTTATATCCGTTAGAGCTCTTTTTCTTTTTTTTTTTCCCCTCTCTTTTTTACAACAAAATTTACACATCTTGGATTTTATTACTCCTTAGTGCTTATTACTTTCTTTGGGGGGGGGGGGAAGAATACAGTCAAATATGGCAAAACAAAGCTGTCAGTCAATACCAAGGATAGACATAGCACATGGTGTAGAACAGAGTACAAGTTTATCAACAATGGTTATCAACGTTGTCCCTTGTTTCCTTAAAAAGAATTGTCTATCTTATTAGATATTATAAAGTTGGACAAAACAGTAGAGAACAAGACCAATAAAACTTAGGCATTGTAAACATTACAGGACTTCCAAAGAAGACAATAGTCAAACCAGAATGGGTATCTTAGTGAATCTTATTGTCTTCAAAGTAGTTGCCTATGTCTTCAAACTTGATACTATCATATAGAATGGAACAGAGTCTAATCAGTCAAAACAAGATCGTGGGAGTACTACAGGACTTCAAAACAAGTTAATAGGAAATCGAAAAGAGTTACTATTTATATATCCTAATTTTTTTGAATTTTTTCTTTAATTAAGACAAACATAAGAAATGACTAAATAATTTTTTTTGAAACAATAAGGGGGAGATTGAGATAAAACAGGACATAACAATATAACAATAGAGGTCACAGCATGACTGTTTCAACAACCTAGTACTTCACCACCTTATAACCTGACTTAATAGTAGTTACCATAGTGTCTTTTTCCTTGAAATATTTGGATAAAACTTCATATACTCTAGCTTCAAATATTTTCATAGCAAGAAGCCCAGAATAAAGCCTTTCTAATTAATGAGTGAAAACTTTATAAGGCTTCAAGGCCACCTAATGGGGAATCATGATTACCACATATTTTTATATATTTGAATCATTATTTACATTAGGGAAACTATTCGGTATTCACACATGCGAGATTGATTTATTTCACTAATGAGTATGGTCTCAAGCTGCGCCCATTTATTGATAAATATCTCAATGTGATCCTTCTTTATAGCTGAATAATACTCCATTGTATAGAAATACCACAACTTTTTTATCCATTCCTCAGTTGATGGGCACTTGGGTTGTTTCCAAGATCTGGCGATTACAAATTGTGCTGCTATAAACATAGGTGCACATATATCACTGTGGTATGATGCTTTCAGTTCTTCTGGGAATATGCCTAGAAGTGGAATAGCTGGAATAAATGGGATTTCCAGTCCCAACTTTTTGAGAAATCTCCAGACAGATCTCCACAAAGGCTGTACCAGTCTACACTCCCACCAGCAGTGCAGGAGAGTTCCTTTTTCCCCACAGCCTCTCCAGCATTTGTTGTCGGTTTTCTTGATCCTGGCCATTCTTTCAGGAGTGAGATGGTATCTCAGTGTGGTTTTAATTTGCATTTCTCTAATGACCAATGATGATGAGCATTTTTTCATGTATTTATTTGCCATTTGCATTTCTTCATCTGAGAATTGCATATTCATCTCAGATGCCCATTTTTGGATTGGATCTTTGAATTTCGGAGGTCTGAGTTTCTTTAATTCTTTATATGTTTTAGACAAGAGGCCCTTGTCTGAGAGAGAGTTCACTAAAATCTTTTCCCAGTTTGTGGGTTTTCTTTTCACTATGCTGGAGATTTCTTTTGACATGCAGAAACTTTTTAATAAGAAGTGGTCCCAGTTATTGATTCTGGGAAGTATTTCCCGTGCGGTTTGAGTCCTGTTCATGAATTCTTTACCTACTCCTATGTCTCCAAGGTTTCTACCTATTTTGTCTTCCAATAGATTTAGTGTTTCTGTTTTAATATTCAGATCTTTGACCCATTTACATTTTAATTTAGTACATGGTGATAGACATGGGTCTAGCTTTAGTTTTCGGCAAATGGAGAGCCAGTTTTTCCAGCACCATTTATTAAAGAGACTGTCGTTCTTCCAGTGAACCTGCTTGGCTTCTTTATCAAAAATAAGGTGGTTGAGTGTGTTCGTAGTTGTGGTTGTATCTTCTAATCTATTCCACTGATCTTCGGCTCTGTTTTGATTCCAATACCATGTTGATTTTACTACTGTTACTTTGTAGTATAACTTCAAGTCAGGGATTGTGATGCCTCCTGCTTTGTCTTTGCTGCTTAGAATTGCCTTTGCGATTCTAGGTCTCTTCTGGTTCCAGATGAAATTTAGGAGTGATTTCTCTAGATCTATAAGGTATGTTGATGGTATTTCTATTGGGATTGCATTGAATCTGTATAACAGTTTTGGGAGAATGGCCATTTTCACAATGTTTGTTCTTCCTATCCATGAGCAAGGGATGTCTTTCCATTTTCTGAGATCATCTTCAATTTCCTTTTTCAGTGTATTATAATTTTCACTGTATAAGTCTTTCACTTCTTTCGTAAGAGTAATTCCTAAATATTTCATTTTTTTGCTTGCTAATGTGAATAGTCCAGTTTCTCTTATTTCCCTCTCTGTAATTTTGTTGTTCGTGTATAGGAATGCTATTGATTTCTGAGTATTGATTTTGTATCCAGCCACATTACTGAATTTATTTATTGTATCTAAGAGTAT